AATTTTCCGCGATTTATTATTTTTTTTTTTTTTTTTCGAGTCGACTCGTATAATCGCGCGAGGCCTAGAGCGCGAGCTGGATGAATCGAACTTCGTGTGTGACCGTTCGTTGATTCGTTAGCTCGTTTGTATAGTACGAGCCCGTCCTCGAAATAGGTCGCGAATCGCGCACGTCGCGAATTTCTTTTTCGATGGGTATCGATCGTGGCCGCGGTATGTACGCTTTTTTAGTATGTCGTCGGGGAATTATTTTTCACGAGATTCGGAAGAGAGAGAGAAGGAGAGAGAGAGAGAGAGAGAGAGAGAGAGAGAGAGATCCGTGAAAAAAAACGGAATTGTTGTAACGGATATCCCGAGTGAGCGGAAGAAATTAAAATATTATCAGCTTCGTTCGAAGTTTGAGTTTTCGAATTAACATCCGAGATTCGTGGATTTTAAAATCTATGGGATCCGAAATTTATTTCCGGACAAAATCCGGAAATAAATACAATTTTTGCGCACCGCATCGGTGAGTTTTTTTTTTTTTGATTCTTCACGAAAGACCTGTCCTTCAATATTTTTTTGCGAATTGTTTAGATTCCTATTTTCAACCTTAAAATTTCGTTCTTGTGTTTTCTACATACCTCGCTTTTCTTTGCGCGTCAATTTTAATTATTCCAAAAGCTAATTCGGAAGAATGATATTTCTAACAACGCGAATGTGAAAATATAGGACACACACACACACAATCGATGTACATTTATTTTGTGTGTTTAAACCCGTAGTTCGCTCGCACATCAATATTGTACGCGATTTTTTTTTTTTTTTAAACGCAACGCGAATAAAAAATCGCAGTATTTCTTTTTTTAACGCTAGTTAACAACAACCATCGCGAGACAGAGTCGAAACATTCGATCGATCTTTAGTTTCTCTCTAGGTTCGATTTATATTCCTCTAACCGTGAAACGTGTGTTGTTGCGCGATGTTACACGAGCGCGAAGCTGCGGACGGCCGACCTTAATCAGCTATCCGCAGCTCATAGGACCCAGTCGATCGTATGAGTCGCTTCCGAACGACTTCTTGTCGTTTCTGCGACCTTGCTCTAACACAGGCCCTCTCCTCATTTCACCGTGCTCGGCAGGGAGAGCGTCACTCTCTCTCCGTGGCAGCACCGGTTCGGTCTTGACGACTCCGACAACAAGGAGGAGGTGGCAGGCAACTCTCTCAGCGCGTGCTCCTTTTCCTTCACAACTCGGGCTTCCGTCCTTTTCTCGATCAAGCGGACCTTCACCATTGTCATCGAATGTCTACGTTCTGGCTTTGCGTTCCATATCGAACGAACGCTTCATCGTCGAGTCTGTCAGAACTAAAATTATATCGCAAATCTATTTCGTATCATCGAGAGACAAGCTCGTTAGACGCGAAATCTTCTAACGAATTCCGAAAACGTTCTCGATGCGCTAAAATAATCTCCGCGCTAATTTCGACGACGAGCAACCAGTTTTTTTTTTTTTGAAGTGACACGCGTGTCGATTTCTCTGTGTGATTTGCACGCGATGTATCGATATTTTGTGGAAAATCTTCTCCCACACGCACACGCACACACACGGGCGAGGGCGACTGCTTTTCAATCATCGTATTACAGAAGCATAATCGATCGCGATTACCTTTTCCGTGCATGTTACACGTGCATGTGCGAGAGCACGTTCTACGTGTGCGCGTTCGTCGACGCGCATGCACTTATCGCGAGGCGCAGTAACAGTCGACGTCGCGCGAGGAGGTAACTTCTCTTCCTCTTCTTTCCCCGATGACGAGGCAATTGGACAGGCCAGCCCTACCACACTGCCTAAGAGAGACGGGTGTAATTTCTCCTAGCTTGGTTGTCTGGCTTGACAACGGCTCGGCGTTTTATGCTCGCCTGATACCATGGGCAGCCGGACGCAGACGTGCAAGATGGCACGCCCAGCTGTCGCCACGCAGACGCCGTCGACGCTGGCAGCCGCCACGGCAACAGGATCGCATGTGTAAGCTATGGTGCGTGTATGCGTGTGTGTGTGTGTGTGTGTCTGTCTGTGTGTGTATGTGTGTGCGCGTTGCATCGCTGTTCTCGAACAGCGTCATGGCCTTGCAGTCGCGACGCTTCCACAGCCTCTAATAATAGTGATAACTGCCGCATGTGCAGTCGCCGCGACTGATACCGCGCGCCTTGTGCACAGCGCGCGGCGAGATCGCGCGAGGCCGGCTGCCATTGGGAAATCGAACCGCGCCCGCTGCAAAATCGATGCGGCCGCTTTGGCATTTTTTTTTTTTTTTTTTTTTCGTCCCGGCGCGATCTATAATCGCGTCGTCACTTCGTGAAATTATTCAAACAGCTTCGGGATCATTGAGATCACTCGGACCGGAGACGTTGAATAAATATCGAACAAAGTAGGTACTCGTCGCGATATCTCGAGTTTGTTTGAAAATTTCGAGAGATATCGACGTTCTCAATCACTCAATTTGTTTCAAAGACGAGTATTTGTTTTATTTTTATTTTTTTTATCCGAACTTTATCCTCCCCATCGGTGCTCGCGCGGAAGAAAAACACAATTGCGGTATAACTGTGCGAAGCACGGTAATTTTTGCCCAACCACGTGTTCTCGTCGTTCCGCAAACTCCCCCGAGCTCGTGTCGATCGAAGAGGTTTTGTCGAGACTTCGCTTCGGTTCGCGATTTTTGTTCCCGTTTCGTTTTTCCCACGATCCTCCTTTGATCTCCTCGCGCGATCTATCTTCGACGACCATGCGCGTAGTAGTTTCGCGCTGCGATTTACATCTCTGTGACATGCATATTTTCGCGATATGCAAATGTCTCTCCCCTCCTCCTTTTCTTTCGCGTTGCTGTTCCTGCACACACACACACACGTAGCCGAGTAGCGGATCGACGATAATTGGAAAAACGCGAATCTTCGATTATTCTCGGTTTTTGCAAAATTTGTTTTTTTCTTTCGTTTCCCCGTTGTTATGTTCCCGTTTGACCGTTCGCGGTCAAAGACGGCGCGACACCTCTGCCTAAATAAAGGAGAGAGCGCGGCGCAACGATGAAAATTTAACAGATGCGAGGAGAGACCGCGAATAAAACTCTGGCCGCTGTGTCGTTGCGATAGTGTCGCTTCCATTTAAATTTTATGACGTCTGCCCTTGTGCGCTGCGGTGCGCGGCATTAAGTAGGATAATAAGTACGGATATACGCGCGATCGCGAGGAGAACGTAAATCTGATAAATCATGCATGCGCGCGCGACGGCGCGATTGTTGATTGAACTTTCGAAGTCGCGAGTCGTTGGAACAACGCGCGCGCGCGCGAATCTCTGATCTCTTCTTCGCCGGCGTAAAAAAAAAAAGAAAAAAAAATTTGTTTTTTTACTTCTCGAAAATTATTTAATTAACGTTATCGCGAGATATTTTGCAAACTCGCGCGTGTGTGTTTGCAAACTTGCGCGATCGCGTACAAAATTGCTAATGCGCGACACACGAGTTGGTTCGCGCGCGCATATCGCGAAAAATATTCGCCATGTGGGATTCGTATCTTAATGCATCGTAAGGTTATTGCTAACCGCGCTTATCAACGTAACCGTTTACGTTTTTACGTCGTACGCGGTTTCGACGGGATGTAAACATTTCGTTTTCGACATTTATTTCCCGCGGTTTCGCGATATCTCGCTTTGGAAAAAATTAAATAACGTCGTGTGTGTGTGTGTGCGCGCGCGCGCGCGCGCGACTCGATAAATGCTTGACAGTCTGCTTTATCGCAACTACTTGCATGCGAGATTGTCGCGCGTATTTACATATACAGAATGCGCGCTTTAGTTGCGTGATAAATCGGCGAGGAGACCGCGCGGCGCGGGAAAGAAATCAACGATCGCGGAATCACGCACGGTCGAAAAAATGGCGGTCGCCGTGAAATTTTGAAAACTACCAATTCTCTCTCACTCTCTTTCTCTCTTTCTCTCTCTCCCTCTGTTTCACGATTGGCCGATTTGTCCTTGGTCCTCTCTCGCAAATGGGGTTGAAGACGCGCTTCCTGCCGCCGCGAAGAAGCGTCGCCATCCTGTGGCGAATCTCCAAACCACGGGAAAACTCGCGCGGACGAATTTGCTGCGAGCTCTCTCTACCCTCCTCAGCTAGCTGGGCGCCTCCGCGCCCCCGTGGGTTCTCCACCCTCTTTCGCCACCCTTATTTTGTCACGGAGGGGTTGGTAATTCCGGCGGGAGAGCGATTTTATCGGCCGCGAACGCCGAGAATTGACTTGCGGAAAAGCTCGCGAGCGACGACGAGGGCTCTACTTGTACCTCGAAAACACAGTTTCACACCTCGGAAGGTGTGCTCTTTTGTTTTTCTTTTTTGTTTTCGTTTTTTAATTTTCGAAACTTTTTCTTTACATCGAGACTCCGCGCGTAAAACTTGATTTGCGCGGTGTGTCTGAGTTTAGAATTTTACACAAATTCGATATTTGTCGTACAAACATTTTTTCCTCGCGAATGTGTGAACACACGCGTGTGAAAAGTTTATCGGCAACAAAACAATAATAACAACATATAAAACGTTTACTCGCTCTAAAATGTTCATTTACGATGTATTTACGTCAATATATGTTTTTCTCGCTCAAGACACTTTTCCGCGGCTTGTTTTTCCTTTCCTTCGCGTAACAAAAACAAAACACCTTACCTTCTAAACAAAAAACACTATGATATCTGAATCGGGTTTTTCTCGTCGCGAATAAACTCTCCGCGCGCGAGTTCGCGTTTGTCTGCACCGCGCGGCGACATGTGCATCCGACCACGTGCGCGCATCAATGACGCAACCCCTCGTGGGTTACGGTGACGTAACAACAAGGAGGAGGACGCGATATCGAGTCGAGGTTAAACACGACGGCGAGGATGACGCCCGCGAGCTGCGCTTGCGTGCGGCCTCGTTTTTCTCGTCTCGCGCGCGCATATACCACACACACACACACACACAAACGTCCGCCCGTCTGTCCGTCTGTCTGTCTCTTTTACGTTGTTTGCACCCCGAAGGAAAGAACGCGCCGCGTAGAAACACGCGTCATCCTCGCGTGCGTGTTTCAACCGCAGATCGACGAACACCGTCAAGCATCGTTGTCGTTTCCACCTTGCTCTCCATTGTGCCGGCGGACGTCAGCTGCGCGACGACCGTCACTAGAGCGTGTCAGGTCTGAGTCTGTGTGTGTGTGTGTGTGTGTGTGTATGTCTGTGTCACGTGACGACGACACAAACAAGCATCGCGACGACGGCCTGCCTCTCTGTTCGTCGGCCGCAAAGGGTTTAGAAGTCAAACGTGGTGAAAGTCAAACTACTACACACAACAAAACGCGTTGATAACGCACGTGCGCCGCGTGCGTTAACGATCATCATCAATCTACGTCGGGAGGAGATTTGTTGCTGAGGAAAACACACAGCGGAGAGATCGATAGGGCGCTAGAGAGAGAGAAAGAGAGAGAGAGAGAGATACGCGTTTTCGTCTATTCGTCGAACGTTGATGGGAAAGTGGGTCGACCTACCGCACGGTGGTGGAAGGTGAGTGTCTCTCCGTCGTGTTACGTCACTGCGCGCGTTATCGGCCAGAAACGGAGTCGACTTATCGGAGAAGTGGCGACGATAGTATGTGGTGAAGGTAAGCGCGAGTGTAGCTCTCTGCGCGCGGCGAGAAAGAACTCGTCTCCTCTCTCATAGGTGTGTCGATGTTCAATTCCGATTGGAAAGTGCATGTTGCTCTACGGCGATACTCTCTCGATAACGCGCCACGTTAACTTCGAACCACGGACGGAATAGAGGTAGAGGATAAATCATTGAGTTTCGTATCTCGTGTACGTTTTTACACGGCCTATAAATAAAAACTTCCCTTCGCGAAGGTTCTCGTCGAGTTTGAAAAAAAAAAAAAAAAAAAACAAAATGCACCTCTGAAAAATAACAAAAGCAAAGTTTCGGTTTTGTTTTTTGTTTTTTTTTTCAATAAGAAAGATTTGAACGGCACTTGTGTTTTATGTTTTTGGTTTTCGCGACGTTGTTCGTAACATATGTTTGCGAAGAGATTTTTATTTTTCCGTTTCTCCGCGACAAACGCAACATCAGCGAACGATATCATCTAATCGAGGCGATTTCCTGACGGAAACACATTCAGCAAAAAAAAAAAAAAAAAAAAAAACGCACAGCGCGATAGCGTTAATTCGCGCGATATTTAATCTTCGTTGTTTCGCTTCCATAAAAGCTTTCATACGCGCGTTCGCTTAATAGAAAATACAACTGGAAGACCGTAACGCGCGCGCGACCTTGATTTCTATTATCGATGAAATAACACGCGTGTGGGAGACCGTACGTGCATAACCTTCCGGAATGGTATTCAATCAATATCAAAGCGGCTATTTCAAAGTCACCACCTGTGCAATGTCTATAGATCTCTATGTAGGACGTTCCCTCGCGATCTACAACGCAGTATTTTGTAATTTATAACATGAGTAATTTAATTTGAAGAGTTTCTCTCTTGTGTGTAAGTATTTTTACATTTACTGTAGATTTTACGGTTTAAAATTTTTGTTGTCAATTTATATATTCTTTATCTTTGACGTGTGACGCTTCCGCTATGTGTTAAAAGAATTCCTGAAGACGGTTCTTTCGAGTTTGAACCGCGTTAATTTTGTTTCGTGGACATTTCAGTTCACTTCAAGAGGTTTTGACATTTATCAAAGGCTCTTAAAATCCTAATGAAGTCCGCGATACGTCAGTGTAAAACTGACGATATGTCAGTGTAAAAATGACGTTAAAATTCCATCTTCAGGAATTTATTTCTGTTCGCATTTTTAACACATTAGATTTCTAATGTATTTTTATTCTATAAATGTAAAAAATTTGTTTACCTAAAACTGCATTATCAACTATTGAAAGAAAAGACGGACGAACAATCGCGAGAGAATAACGAATGTGCCACCGCGCATGGGCAAATGAAAGTGTAACAAGTTGTTGAGCACTCGTGGTCCGGCGCTTGCCCGCGAGTTCTACGTAATAAAAAAAAAAACAAAAAAAAAAAAACAAAAAAAAATAGAAATAAATTAGAAAAACGTAAAAGTTTCACGAATTCGCATTTCTGAGCGGAGCGCAGAAATGGCGAACGATTCAATTTTTGACGAAAGCAAAATGTTCTCTAACAAATCACCGCGCGATCACAGGCCGAAGTAATGACAATCCTTTGTTCGTTTGAGCGTGTTAATTCGACTGATGTTTTCTGATCGTGAAGTACGTCTCGCTCGACTGCTCGCAGAAATCGAAGTATAAATCAGAAAACCAGAAAAGCGTATCCCGAGAGAGTTCAAGGACAGAGAATAATTTTTCTCCAGAGAAGATCAGCCAAGCGTTTTAGAGATACGTTTCCACAAGTTTGTGTTTCACATTCAATCAATTCCCCCATCGTCTCCCATCAGGAGATTCCGCGAGAATCGCGGAAATTTAACGATCGCGAAATCTACAAGAACAAGAAGAGATTCGGAAAGATGCGGAAGAGAGACGTTCGAGAAACTCGACGTTAAATAAATTTTAAACATTTGCAATTGCGCGCCGACCGAGTTAAAAAAAAAAAAAAAGAAAGGGATTAAAAGGAAATGTTCGCGTCTCCTCTCTCTTTTTCGGCGAAACGCGCGATCGGCCGACGAGATAAGCGAGAGAGTCTCCGCCGCTTTGCTTCTCGATCCGCAACGGATGGATCGCGGTCGGGTAAAAAGTGGCGCGAGCTGCAAACGTGGGCGGGTGGAACCTTATTGCGGGGTGGGTGGGCTACGCCGAACGGAGAGAACGTGTGACAGAGATGTATGTACGCGACGCGGCCGGTCTCTGATCGTCCTGTCACGTGTGACATGTGGAGAGGATTATGAGTATAAGAGCGAGAGAGAGAGAAGCCGCTGCTTCATTGAGAGAGAGAGATGCGCGAACACAATACGGTGGTATCGTAAAATACGGGCGAGAGAGAAGGAAGCAGCGGCTCCGTGTTGTCAGATATGACGAACGATACGCGGCAAATCCCAGTCAGAAACGTGACGTCAATTCAATATTGACGCGAGCGATTGAGGCTTCGAATTGGAGGCTGGATTATCGCGCGAATCGAATATCGACTTATTATTATTATTTTTTTTTTTGTTCCAACTTTTACGCCGTTTTTAAACAATATGTTGCGGAAATTGTTCCCGTCATTAAAACGATTTTGCGTGAAAAAATTTCTCGCGTTAATTGTTCGCTCGCACCGAGATCAAGTAATGCCGAAGACAAGCGCGTTTGTTTTCTTGTTTACAGCGACCGAATGAGGCGATCACTGAAGAACGATATTGGCGTTTAAGAAGAGCAAAATGAGAGGCGGCGCCGGTGATGTCCCGTCATCCGTGGTCACGATCCCCGCTTCGGCGTCTCTTAACGTACGCACGTTACAAACGTTCTTATCTCACTTAATGCACTTCAACGATCACGTTGGGACGTAGCGGAGATTCGCTTTTACATGCACTTAAAATCGAAACGGGGGCCCACAACCCGTCGCGTGCGTTAATCGCCGTTCACTCCGCAAAGGATTCAGCATTCGGATCTTATTTTATTTTATTTTTTTCTTTCACGATCTCGCGCGCGCGCGACCACGAAGTCGAGAACTAAGCGCGCCACGTCGCGCTGGTCGTCGGGAACTTGCTAATTGGCTTTAAGTGCTCCGCACAACCGTGGCGTTATTACCGGGCCGGAGTACGTTTGCCGGAGAGATAGAGATATCGAGGCCGATCGAGGGACAATCACGTGTGTTTCTCGACGTATAGTCCGCAAAACGCGTCCGACGAACAGGTTTTTCTCCGGTAGTTTCGACACGGATCAATGCGACAAGCGATGTTTGTTTCGCGCGAGAAATCATCGCGACAACTTTGCATAAAAAAAAACTCTCGAATGATCAAAAAAAAAAAAAAAAAAGCGACCCTGCGAGAAAAAATTACGCGGCGAACTAAAATCGCGAAAATCGGTCTAGAGACCGCGTCTTCGTTCATTTGTGATTGATTCGCAGTTTATGACAGCTGAGGACAGCATGAGCGATGACGTATTCGAGATGGACGACGAGCGCTCTTCCAACGCGACTGTCTTTTCCGGAGGAGGAGGAGACGGCCTTACTCCCGGGGAACGACCCCTCGACAATACACCCTCTCCCACTGGGTATCGCGATTACAAACCACCTGCCGAAGTGCTCAGCAACAACTACAGTACAACCTTCAGAACAACGAGCGACTTCGACAACGTGAGGAGCACGTTGAAAAGGGACCAGCAGAAAGAAGATAATTTCGCGCACAAGGCAAGTTGCTTGCTTGGTTGCAATCGTTTTTCGCAATTTTGTCTCCGTCAAATTTCAATTTTTTTTTTTTTTTTTTTTATCAAAGATAGCGTTAGACAAAAAACAAAACGTATCTCCACCTATCGCGTCGCGTTTCCAAGTTGTGCAACAACAAAGTTGCGACCTCGCCTCCGTGCCAAGGACACGACGTCTCTTATCCCCGGCAATTCCCGTGGAATAATGATCAGGAATGCCAGAGGTCTGCGGTAGCCCCCCCGTAGTACCGTCCCCCCCCTTCATTTCGTGCCTTTCCTTCTTTTCTTCATTCGGTAGTTTCTTTTTCCCTTCTTTCTCTCTTCCCGTCTCTCTCTTCCCCATCAAGTCACCGCTCCCCGTCTCCTTCTCTTTGCGTCCTTCTCTTTCTCCCTCGAGAGAGTTGCTCACGGCACGAGCTTCTCCAGCTCCCGTCGTAAAGATCGCTCCGACCTCACCGCCTTCTCTTATCCCCGTTGTCTTCGCTCGTGTATTCGACAAAACGCAACTCGAACGAACGAATTTGCGTTGATTTTTTTTCTCGGCAATTTTGAATTTTCGGGTAACTTTTTGTGATTTAAGAGATTGCCCGCGGAGAACGACAATTACTCATCGGGGGGGACGGGAAAAGTATTGAACGCGCGGTATCGGACACCAACCGACGCGCTTTTCCGCAAAGGCGCTTGACGCCTTTAAAACTTTACGTCCAAGCTGCGCGCAACTCGGTGCGCAATAAAGTAGAAGAACCCAGAAGCCATTCGAAACGTTCCTTTTTGGTCGGCGCTGCAATTAAGGAAAGGGTTCTCTCTTCTCTCGTGACTACTCAACGTAGGACGAAAGAAACCGAGAGAGGGGAATCGGAGAGACGGGCGGGGGTTTGAATAAGCTACTACACACAGGGGGACAAAGTAAAACCGGTAGGGGGTCTACCGTCTTGAGCCGGTTCTTGCCTTGCACTTTCTTCGGCCCTATCCGGGCACCTCGTCAGTACTCACTTCGTACCGCCTATAAAGGATAATTGAAGACCTCGCTTGCAGCAACCAGCTTGAATTTTTGCAAATTCCCCGGAAAGGGAAAGATAAATATCGCATTATGGGGAGAAAACCACGAAAACACACCGTTTCCTTCTCCACTTACGCGAGCGAGCGCATATGTGTGTGTGTGTGTGTTTTCTTTTTATCTCGTTTCGCGATTTGTTCAACGTCACTTTTTGTTTCTTTATTTTACATTATAAGTTGCGTTTCAGTTTTGAACAAACTCGGACGTCATCAACGTCCCGGATATTCCCTTGCGCAAATGCGAGTATTCCGTTTTTCACAAAAGACCGGTGAAATTTTAGTTATCCTCGATAAATCGAAATTATAATTATCCGACGAGGAGGAACATCGCGATTATGGGAGGGGGCACGTGTATTTTTTTGTTTTTTCTTCTCACAACGCAGCGCACGCGAGTTGAAAACTCGACTAAGCAACGCGCGCTGTGAACACTGACCTCAACGGCGGCGGCGGCGGCGGCGGTCGTGCATCTGGCGGGCTCGCGCAGTCGCATACCAATTGAGTTAGCGGCCTCGTGGTAATGCAAAAAAGACGCAAACTCGCAGCGGCAGAACCAAATGACGAGATCGACAATATGGACGAGGAGGCACTTCGCTCATAGGTCGCGGAAGTCGGAAAATCGGCTGAGCGTGTTGAAAAAATGATCAAACATCTATCGTTTTATCCAAAAATTTCGCAACAGCGATTGTGTTTGCGCGCAACAAATTTAACTAATTGCAACATTCTTTATTGACGATTATCGATGCTCTTCCGTTTTCGGACGAGAAGATGCGCGGAACGATTGGACTAATTGCGATGAAGAAAGAAGCGGAAAGTCTCGGTGCGAGAGATGTGCGCGTCCGTCCTTCTCGCAAGTCTTTGCGTCGAGGGAGATGCGCGATCTTCCCGCGTACGGGACCGCGTCCGCTCGTTAAGTCTCGGTCGACGACGATCATCATAAGCCGTTGTAAGTCGTCTCCGGAAATGTGCGACGACGGATTGTTCGATAAGAAAACTCGCGCGTACTCATTGAGATACGCAGGCGCGATTACGGTACGGCGCGCGGAGCGATCGCCTCCCTCGATAAGACGCAAATCTCCTTCGTGTAAGACGTTGATCTCATCTTCTATTACGGAATCTTCGGAAATTTTTTTCTCCCCCCTTTCCCGTTTTTTTTTTAAGCAAACTGAGATTGATTATAGGGTGAAATATTGGAGAAATCCTTGGGCCTCTTCGATCGGCTCGATTGATATTCCGGTTGGTTCGTGTTCGACTCGCTCGCAGAAGCAGCGGGTTTTTTGATAAATTATTATTCGAGTTCCGCGCCGAGCGAGGAACGATAAGCGTATTCACGACATGTACTTATCACACACAGTCATAATCATAACAATACAATCTTACGACAGACGTACTCCCTGCGGTTTTGAGGGAGTGAAGAAATTATATAGGACGAGAATTTCTTTTATCCAAGGAAAAATAACGTAAATAATAAAAACGTTTCCTTTCGTCTCTGTCTGTCTTTTTCTCTCTCTCTCTCTCTCGCTCTACTTTGCCGCGTTTTAAAGAGAGACTATAAATTGGCTTCTTAATTGACGCGCGAATGTTTAATGTAATTTTCAACTGCGTAAGTGGCATTTCTCGTCCTCTCTCTCTCTCTCACACTCACTCACTCTGTGTTAATGGCGTTGAAGTTTGCCCTATTTACAGCGGTGTACTCCCGATCGGCGTACTCGAAGTTCATTTTGTGCTTGACTGATTCAATCCCGTTCGGTAATAATCTAACCACCCGCAGCTGTTGCGAGTGTTGTAGCACAACCAGCCGAGCTTCTATTAAACGAAACGGTCGCCAACTCGCTGCTGCGGCTGTGACAAGTACGGCTCCGGGCTATTTTTATCTCTGTCGGTCGCGCGCGGTCTACTCGAGATTCCTTCGAAGGAGGAAGAGAGGAAACTTGCGCGTTCTTCTTCTTACGACGCGTTTTTCCTACGTCAGCACCTGCGGTGTGCACGACCGAGAAAACGCTACGTACGAATCTCTCGTTAAAATTATCTCCGTAACGTTATTTATTGCGAAATACTCCATGTCCGATTACGTTGTCGTCATCGTCGTCGTCGTCGTCGTCGTCGTCGACAGATCCGATCCTCTGGTTCCGCAGCGCGAGAAATTAATGTCCTTCCTCACTTCGCGCTGTTTAACTCGAGATAAATGATAAACGCGAAACGAAGACAAATTATGTGCACACAGACGTACGCAACGCGCGTAAAAGTGTGCGAGAGTGTACGTAGCAACATCTGAAGCAAAATTTAAAGGAAAAAAATTGTCATATCATTAGCTCGCTTCTTGTCAGATTCAGAAACGACATTTAACTGACGAAAATTTATTCATTCAATCGCCAATGAACTGAACGAGTTCGCGCGAGAGATACGTGTTTTATTTATTTTACATGCGTGTAAATTTAATACGCGTAACAAAATTGTGAAGCGAAAATTCAATTTGAAAATTCATCTGGGACGAAGCTTGTGCGTCGCGTGTAATAAACGAAATACCCGATTTATACCTAGTTGAAAATTAAAAAAATCCATCGCGAGAAAGACGCGGAATCGAGCGTTTCCCGCGTTCTCTCCCGTGCGGTGTGTAGCAGTTTTTTTTTTTTTTTTTTTTTTTTTTTTTTTTTTTTTTTCAGGCGAAAATACGATGACGTTTAACAACACGCACTGACAGACGCCTAAAGGTGGTAGTTACATAATAAATATTTATAACAGATTGCAGCGTCTCTGGAAAGAGTTATCGGCGGTACTCCATTTACGCTTCGCGACCCCGTTACGCCTCTCCGGTCTCTCTCTCTCTCTTTTTCTCTCTCCCCCCTGCGTGCATATATGCATATATATACGTGCGATGTGTGTTTCGTCGCCTCTTGTGTCGCCGCGTCGACTATACATATGTGTGTGACACTATTCAAACGCCTACGTGCACTCGCAAATGACTCGATTCATTGCGATGGCACTCTGAAACCTACCCACGATCGCTCGCGCGCGAAATACCGTTCGTGCGGCGTTAAAAAGCCACACGAGCTCAAACAATCGCGCGTAACGTACCTAGTATCATCAGCGCTTTGACAGCGGATCGCCGCGCGATCGATCGATCGCAATTTTTGTTCAACTCTTGTATTCGATAGCTCGTCTCGTTTTTTTTTTTTATGCTGTTCAGGAACAGCGAACATCCGAGTTTAAAGAACTCCGGAAATTCGGAGCGTGCCGAATTTTCTCGCGCGAATATATCCAAAACAAACACACACACACACACACACACACGTGCAAAGTAAAGTAGAACCGTTCAGCGAGTTTTCTCTTTTATTTCGCGCTCGATCGAAAATACAAGCAATTTTCTAATAAAAAAAAAAAAAAAAAAAAAAAAACATTTTTACGCGACGTGTTTCGCTGTCGCGCACAACGAAATCCTTTTTTCTCTTCAATTCCCAACGAGGTTTTAACGTTCTCGCTCACCTGCGGCGATTACGAGCAATTAATTGAAAACACGGCGGCGGTGGCAGCGACGACGATAGTACAGCCATGCACAAAGAAACAACGGGGTTTCCCGCGAAGGGTGGCGAGAAGAAGGGAGAGAGAACATAGAGGTAGATTACTAGCGGAAGGAGAGCGAGAGAGGGAGGGAGGGGGAGAGAGAGAGAGAGAGAAGACGAGAGGAGGGGGAGCACGCAGCACGCAGGAGGAAACGAGAAGCAGAAGGAGAGAAAGAGACGGGGAAGGGAGGGCAGTGAATTAAGTTTCCCCGCCCCTGAGGCCGACACATTCGCCGACACTCGTCACGACCACCCCCTGGGGGTCCTGCGAATCTTTCAATGGAAATTCTCCGCGAAAGGGACGCCGCCTCGAGGCCCAGGAATTTATAAATCCTCGCGGGCGAACGTGACACGCGGGAGAATCCTCTTCTCCCGAGAGAGGATATCCCGTTTGGAAAACGAGATTCTAAAAGTCGCGGCTCTTTCTCGCTCTCTCTCTCTCTCTCTCTTTCGAATCAAACTATTCCATCTCGCGCAGAGAGATTTGACAGCGGCGCCCAGCTGCCTTCTTTCATTTTCTCCCGTTCTCGTTTTTTTTTTTTTCGCCCGAGTTTTTATCGCGCGAGTATTGGCTGCGACATTTCCTCGAGATAAAGTTTCTTAGACAATATAGTCTTTTTTCGTACGTATAAGTTTTTACATATACGTCAAGTTTATAATATTGTTTGTTCGGTTAAACACAGATTGTATTGTTTTGTCAGTTCGCTGAAAGTTTGTGCATATAGTGAACACGTCCCCTTTTTCTTCGTACAACACGAGAGTTTGTTCAAAAAAAACCACCGCGTCAACTTTGAAGTCACATACCGATATATCGATGTATCGTTTGGTCTAATTTTATTTTTAGCTGCAATGCGGCGCACGCATCTTGTCCTGCATCACTTCCCTCTCGTGATGGAAATTTGTTTGTCGCGAAAGAAATTGAACAAATTTCTTAAACAACACGCCGCGAAAGCTGCATCGAACAACGGGATTCTCTTTGTATTTTAAAAACGTGTTTCCAAATTTGTGTTTGCACAATCCGTGCGCGACTCGTATAACACACCGATGCGCGTTATCCTTCGTGTTACACGGAGAGATCTACCGTACAACTCACAAAGAGTTCGCGAGATCGATCTCTCTCGTCGATTGCCGAGCGAGCGCGAATAGATATCGGATGGGAAAAAAAAAAAAAAAAAAAAAAAACGTGCGCGATCGATGCATCGCGCGCTATATACCGTTTGGTCTCTTATCGTTGCGATCGACTTTGGCACCATCGCCATCAATTGCGCGTGCCACCGTAGTTTATATTGCGACTATATCCAGATCCACCTGCTGTCACTCTCTCTATGCTCTTCGCTTCTCTTCTCCTTCTTTTTCCTCTCTTTCTTTCGTACGTATATTGAACGTATATAAAACAAACTCGAAATAGAAGCGCGCGATTGCCGTTCGTGACCGTTTTTACAATCCGGTTTTAGTCGCCTATCTCTCGTTTGTTTTTGCTCACGCCAATATATGCGAAATGACGTAAAACGATCTCTTTTGCAACGATGGCGAGGAAAATATTCGCGCAAAAGATGTCGGGAAAATGTTGAGACACATCCGAAACGTGAAGACGAAGCGAGAATTTATTTGGAACAGAGAAAAGTCACGTGTAGCTTTGAAAAATTCGCAAAATGTTTATCAAATCATTTAATTAATCATTACGAGAACGCGTGTCCGATAGATGCAACGATCCGGATTTGATCGTGTAAGAAAAAAACAAGTTACATGATTTTGTCGAAAATCAATAATAATCGGCGAAAAATCGGCACCGCGTTGAGAGACGCTGTGCTACTGAAACAAGCAATTTTTCAATTGAAAATCACATGACTTTTCTCAACCACGAACTCTCGAGCCCGTCGCTCGCTCGCTCGCTCTCTCATTGGGGTTTCTCACATTCGCCGCAACAACTAATATCCAACAACAATTACGAAGTTCGCAAAGAAGTTTTGCACATGATCTCTCTCCGTTCAAAACGGACCCCCGATCCCACCTTCACACTTCGACCGCGCGCGCGCGTCGAAAAGTTTCATTCCAAGCGCGTAACAAGATTTGCGCGGACTACAAAAAAAATATATATAATATTGAAAAGCTCCGAGAGATCTCCACGTATAAATTTTATTTACCGCACGACAGATTCTCTCGGATCGTTAAAGTTTTCCGGGGTAATCTAATGATTACCTACGTACGTGTGTGCTTTCAGACAATCCTCCTCGGCGATAGCGGAGTCGGCAAGACCTCGTTATTGGTTCAGTTCGATACCGGGAAATTCCAGCCGGGAAACTTCGCGGCCACCGTCGGTATCGGTTTTACGGTAAGTAATATAATACGTGTGTGTGTGTGTGTGTGTATATGTGTGTATATATCCCGCTCGCTCCGTCAAGATTTATTTAATTATAAGCTTTTCAGCCCGACGCGGAAAAATATAATGGAAACGAACACTCGATAGTTTATTTCGCGCGAAGTTGAATTCTTCGAAGAGAGTTTCCGTACCGCGTTCCCGATTTATATAAATCTTTAAATTCCATTTGTTCTCGCGCGCGCAAACGCGGATCGACGCGATCTGACATTTATTTCTTGTTTACGCGCGCAAGAAATCGCGCGTTTATCGCGTATTCCGCGGACACGCGGGATACGACATTTGCGCGCGTGAGGAACAATGTGAGCAACGTGTTTGTGTAAATAAACGAAGCACGACGGCCATGAGACACATTTATATACGTGACAATTTTGTCTCAATACGTTAATACTTACGCACGCAGCGACGTCAAATGAATATTTATCAAGTCTTTTCAAGCATGAGCGCGCTTCTCTCGTGAGCGCGCGCGCGCGCGCGGAGAGAGAAATTCGATTTATGATCTTCGTCACCGATTAACGCGGAAAAGGCGAGGGGAAAGGCGAGAGAAAGAGAAAGAGAGAACAAAAGCCTTGGGATCGTATCCCGTGAAAGAGAGCTATTTTGCATTTGATATTTTCGCAGCCAGGTCGACAATTATCGGGGGCACCAGCCTCGAAAAAGTCGTCGCTCGAGCGAACGGGGGGTTCCCTCTCTCTTTCTCTCTTTCCCTCTCTCATGGTTTCCCACCCATCCGGTCTAATCGCACCCTCGCACGTGCTTTTGCAAGTCGCCGGAAAGATGAAGGGAAAAGAGAGGTGTGTGTGTGTGTGTGTGTATAGAAAACACGGTCGACACCGGGATTTACAGAGGCGTTTTGTATTGAGGTTTCGCAGGTGGTTGGCTTACACTCTCGCCTTTGATGGAAACGCCGGCAGAGAAAGTCTTTGTGATAGAAACTGTGCAATTACGGGGGAGGATTGGGTATTTCTGTGTATATATTCGCGCGACCAAGTTGCGCGAAACGGTCGGAGCGCGTGGCTGTATTAACCACGACCTTGGCATTTATAAAGCGGCGCGCGGCGCACAACACAACACGCGTGTCTTATGCCAGTCCGCGTGGTCGGACGGTATTTTTCGCACAGTCGAGGCGAGGAATTTTAACTCTTTGAATATCTCGTTTCGGCGGAGTTGGTAAATTGTTGCTCGCGGAGAGGAAAACAAATTTTAATGAAATCACGGAGGGGTGGAAGAAGGTACTTCAAACAACGTAAAAACAAACAAATTAATTATATAAAATACAATTTTCTCAATGTAACTCGCGCGTGCGCATTTTTTATGATTTGCGCACACTTTTTAGAACAGAGAGAAGATGCTGTATTTATTCGTAGCGAGCGATTTACACGTTTCACGGAGGAATATCGTGAAATATCGAACGTGGACGTCGACCCGTTGATGATTATAGGGCATCGAGTCGCTGCACTTTCCAGTTACAAGAACACGTCTCGTATACCTCCTCTCTCGAGCGAGCGAGCGAGCAGCCCGTTCGCTAACAGTTTAGTATCGTCGAGAAAGTTGAAATTGCTCTATCAAACGACCGCTCCGTTGTGGATTTCTCCGGTAACACAAGTCTATCTTGTGACGTCGGCGTCCGTCTTGGACGCTCTCCTCTGCATGAAAGTTTCATTTCATTACGAAGCTGAAGAACCGCGGATAATGGAGACTCCTCGCAGCCCGGAGAAATCGCGACCGAGTTCAACCGCGCGGTTTCCCCTCTCTCGGGGGAGGGAAACGAGATAATTGACATTAAATTAAGTCAGCGCGCACGCGCGCGACTTGAATAATTTCGCCGCTTCTCGCGCGCGTTTGACTTTTTTTTTTTTTTTATTTTAATTTAATAACACAAAACAAAGTTCGATATTTACCGGCAAGAAAAAAATTGCTAAAATCATTCGCTCTCGCTGAAACTTCCGTGTTTCGCTGGCGAAGCAACGAAATTTGTAACAGACGCATTTTTCTCGCCGCCCATGAACTGATCTTCCCTGCTATTCCAGAGCAAACATTTTTTTTTTTTTTTTTTCCCGTAACGTATTACGTTTCCAAGCGCAATCTAGTTAAACTATATAATATCGAGTTAAACTGTATAACGTGATATTGCACGAGGAAAATTTAGTATCGCAGTTGGGGAGGGTTTCGGGGTATAATAATCTATTACTCCACCCCGCAACTCGTTACACGATCACCACCCCCGTGTCTGGATCTGACAGTTGTTCCACATTCTAATTCAATTTCGAAGTCTGTTGATAACAAGCAATTTAAAAAATTAATACGCAATTTCGTCGTTCCGCTATGTCTCTCGCGCGATGTCTCTTTGCACACAGAAGAGAAGGACAAAGCGAGAGCGAAACGGATCGCCATTACGGCGGACGATAAGACCGCCGCCGAGAAATGTGAGAAAATGTCGGAGCGCGATCTTTGACGGGACACAAAAGGGGAGGAAGACAAAGCGTGTGCCCGGATCTTCCTCTACGGAGCCAGAAGATACTTAGGTAAAAAGCTGAGAAAAACGACGAGAAGGGGGGAGGGGGGTGAGACGGGGTGAATTAAGGAAACCGAAAGACGGTTTGTGCGCGAATCTCGCGGAAAAAAGCAATGGTTTTCTTTCGAGATGCGAGGAGAATTGAATGAGATGTCTCGAGAATATCTGGAATGGGATCGCGGAAAGGAGGTTTGAATGAATGCATTCTGCTGTTCGGCGGGGCGGTTTTAAAATGTAACGCACGGACGTGCAATGAATTAAAATATATAGTTGAAGCGATCTCTCGGAGAATTATATAATAAATCGCGCGCGCGTGCGCGATATAATTCGGCAGAGTCTATCTAAGTTTCGCTCAGTTGTGCATAAAACTTTCCCGAATCTCCTTCCTTTCGATCCTTCGGATATAATGTCAACCCGCGGCGATAATTGACATTTCTCTCCGCGAAGTAAGGAGTGAAAGGCTCCGCGGGAATAAAAGAGAGACGGAGAGACAGAGAGAGAGAGAGTTGATTATAATTTTAAGAGGCTGAGGCAAGATGGAGGTAAACGTTTGCTCGCTCTTATTGTGCGTCGGGGAATATCGAGGGGGAAGGCAGAGGCAATAAATCACTCGATCCGACATTGCCAAGTTAGGCTGCGCCACGTGACGAAGCGAATTCGGTTCTTTCTGCTCCTTCTTCCTTGTTGTTCGAGATCCTCCCCTCTCTTTTTCTTCTTCACGCGCGGAGAATAAGTCCCGGGGCGAAACGCGCCGATTTCCGGAATAACTCGGTCACATCGCCTCGAACATTGTGTGCGTGTGTGTGTGTGAGGAATATCAATTATCAATTTTTCGTATGTACGTGAGTTGAAGTTTCGTCGTTTTTCATCGAGCGAACTTCGCCGAAAAATGAGAAAATAATTGGAATAGAAACATACAAGTACGATTTTCGAAGGACGACTTTTTTTTAAAAAAAATATTAAATAATTATATTTGTAAAATGCGCACAAGAACAAACTTGACTCGTTTCGCGATATGATAAAGCGACGTAATTACAGTGCGCACGGTCGCGGAAGGACGTCCTAATCGAACGTAATTCCGTCTCTATATCCGTTTAAAGCGAGCAGGTTTCTCGTAACGAGCGCGCACTGACATTTATGACGAAAAAAGTAAATAAATAAATAAAAACGACGTAACGACACGAGAGAGAGAGAGGTAGAGAGAGAGAGCAAGAGAAAAGCGACGGCAAACGCGTATCATCGCGCACACCCCGCCGAGTGCGTCGATCTCCTTCGAGGACGCGAGAAACGCATGCTGAGGTGTGCGCGAGATGGCCGGTATCTTATTCCGCTTAATTAAATTGACGTTGATTAACTGCGCTCGTGGCACTTGAATAAAATCAGTCGGGATCTTCGGGGGCTTAATTATACACGATCGTTCTCCGCGAGTGGATGTATCGGGAACATCCGCGTGGAAATCTTTTCGCGCGCGCGCGCGCGAGAGCACGAAGGCAAGGTAAATCATTATGCTAATGACCTGGTTGGTCTATTCGTTCTCTTATTCGTTTTTAAAATCAGCAGCGTAAATTGATTGATAAAATATATACGCGAGCGGCGCGCAATTTCCGTAACGGAGATACAAAACGAACTTCGGAAACAAATTACACTCGTGTCCCGTCTCATTGTATTTGCCGATCGACTTTTGTTATAAATAATTCATTCGTTATAAATAATTCACAATTACAATATTGCGGCATACACGGAGAGACGCGCGCACAAACCTTCCGCGTTTATATTTCCGGCTTGAAATTTATCGCGGATTCGAGCGAGTCTCTCGCGAGCGATATTCGCTCCCATCCTCCCTCCCAATCCGCGCGCAATTTCTCTCATAATGTACACCGCAATGGTTTATATATATATATAAAACTTTGGTATATATGTATATATATATATATATAAAACTATGTTTTGTCCGAGTATATTCTCGAAAAGCGCAATATATCGACGGCGGTCTCTCCTGAGGTCTTCTCCGCCTATCGTCACGAGAGAAGCGAGCGGAACGTGTGTATCTGTTGTGCGCGCGCGCGCGGAGTCGAGGATCGCCAACGCGTATACCGGTGTTGCTCGAATCGTTTCGGACCTTTTGCTCCTACGTGCGCGCTCCAACGTACGAGAGAGGCTTGGACGTTATTCTGGTCACGAACTCGCCCTCTCTCCTTCTTGCTCCTCTCCTCGTTTTTTTGCTTTATTTTTTCCACTTCTTCTTCTTTGCCTTCTTCTTCTTCTTCTTCTTCAACCGCTGCCGCCGCTGACTTTGCCGTGTGGTCGCGCGCTGTTTATCAATATTTATGCCGATCCGTGCGCTTTCGTCAAAATCACGTTGGGCGACACCTCCGACTTGTTTATTCACCGCCGCTTCGTCGTCGGGTTAACAGCGATTTGATTGCGACGGGCAAAGTGG